CAGTAGCAAGAGCTACTTGAAGACCCTGCAAAACAGATATATCATTCGTTAGACTTTAAAAACACATATAGCATTCATTAGACCCAATAGAAACACATATACCTTCTGTTTGTCAGATATGAATGTATATCCATCTCCCACACCCAAGTCTAAATCGACTTGCAACCTCTTGATAAACCATTCCCAAGACTCCTTGTTCTCGCCTCTAACAATTGCCCAAGCAATAGGATAAATCCTATTTTCAGCATCCCTACCAACAGCAGCTAATATCTCTCCTTTCAACTCCCATTTTAAGAAGGCCCCATCCAAGCCTATCAAAGGTCTACAGTTTTGCTTCCAACTTCTTCTCAACGGTTCAAAACAGACATAAAAGCTATCAAAAATCTGCTTTCCATCCTTTGTAACTGTAACAATCTCCGTACTAACTCCCTCGTTAGACCTAATCAGCTCAGCTTCATAGTCCCATAACTTAGCGAATTGTTGTTTCTGGGTATCCAGAACCATATCCAATGCGATTCGCCTTGCTTTTCTGCATTTGAATATTGAAACTGAGACCTTGTACCTATGCATTAGCTCGTCTTTAATGTCAGAACTCCTTATTTCTGGTCGTCCTCTTGCTTCTTCTTTGAAAAGCTTCGCAATAGTGCCTTGTTTCAGCATCCTTACTCTTCCCGTGGGCAAATGACAGTGTTTATCTTCGAAGACTTTGACCATCCACTTCCGTATAGGCTTCTCCATCGCACAATATATTCTCCAATTGCATTTCTTGTGTGTGCATATGGCTGCATACCTTTGAGAGTTCCACTTATTCAACTTCACATCATATTGGGTTTTTAAAACATACCTTAGAAGTTGATCCTTGAACTCTTCACCATTGTTAAAGGTTTGCATCAGCCATAAGTATGGGGGCTGATTATAATCAGCCTTACTCTTTCCTTTAAACCTCCTTCCACGATCATCTGTGTTCTTCCAATTAGCCCATTCTTCATCAGTGTCTTCCGGAGAATCTGGGTATTCACCTTCTCGCCTTTGTTTCTCACCTTCAATATCACTATCCACAGCTTCGTCATCTGCATTATTCTGAGTAGATGCACCACGAACTACAGGAGGAGGCTCATTTTCGAGTGCAGCAAACATATTGTCAAACCGTGGGTCAGGAGCTCCTTCGCCTAAGATCTGATTCTCATCTTCAGATGGTACTCCACTCGCTTCTTCTCTAAATTCCACTATTGCACCTTCTTCACGTCTCTGTTCTTCTTCCTTTTCTTCCTCCCTGTTTTCAACATCACTTTCATCACTTTCAGACTCTCTCTCCTCGTCATCGCTACTGTTACTGTTCTCATCATCGCCATTCTCACCATCGTCATCCTCCTCTCTATCCTCTTCGTTGTTCTCTTCCTCTATATCATCTTCATCACTTTCATCGTTTTCAGTAGCATCAATAGGACCACCAGTAGTTCTCGACTCAACATCATCCCGCGATGGAATCCCACTATGTCCAATGTAGATGTGAACCTCTCCACATTCATTTGCTTCCGCCGCCATCTTCATAAGCTCCCGATCCTTATCCTCGTACACACATCTTAGCTTCGACATATCCTCAGAAGGTAGTCTGTACCATAATTTCACCACATCGCTCGTAGTTTCAGGATTTGAACTGAAGTCTTCGAAAATGGAGAAAGTGAGCAAATCGGGATCTACCACCATATCAGGTTCTGTCAATCCTCCTTTATAGCACCACTGGTCTCCTTCCTTTGACATTGACCCTCCATAGTGGATGTGGAGCTTGAGCTTGTCGTCGCCGTTACTACACGAACACAGACATTTCTATTAGAAAATTACGACGCAAAATTTAAACGACATTAACAAAATGGGATCGATAAACAACTCGATTTAGTGCAGATTATACCTCATGTCTCTGGATTTTCCTTCAATTCAGTCTCCCGATCTCGATTTAGGGTTCATATGTAAATTTGGGGATTTTAGGGTTTGTTTCTAATTTGGGAATTTTTGTTCGATTTGGGAAATTATGTTCGATTTGGGGTTTTTGATCGAATACTCGGGTTTACTTTAATCGGGTTTAAGAATCGGGTTTGGGTTGTTTAACTAATGCTAAACCACGAATAGTGACCATAGTTAGTTTCCTAACGTCGCTCTAATTTCCGTTTACTGTAGTTTCGTATACGATGTAAACTTAGTATACGGTTAACATATGAGGATTTTTTGTGGACAGAAAAAATACTTAAAGCTTTTTTCTGGATAGTCAAAAAGTTGAGGATTTTATTAGCTTATCGAAATTAAATTAATGATTTTTTTTGGAATTTTCCCTTTGGCCTTTATATAGCAGACTAGCAGTCATATTTACTTGGTGCGTGCGTTTGCTAAACATACGTTGATGGCTTTGCTTTTTGCATGGCCAACCATACGAGATTTTCTTATCCTTTATCAGTAAAGCCAAAAAACACAGACGTCAAAATCATAAAATTCATTCACTCACAATAAAGAAATAAAATATTACAAAAGTAAATAAAGTCTGCAAATGCATTATTATACTATTTTTTATTATATAAAGGAAAACATAAAAAGGGGTAGTAGAGTCTAGTAGTTATATTATACATATTTACTCTTTATTGAACAGCGACTTTTACTATGTGATCAATGACATCATCAAAATGATCGAGTATATAAAATAGAACATCATGCAGATTTTGTTTATGTATTGTCTGTTTAAAAAAGGTATTTTAACTTTTTACTCCAACTTTCACAATGTAGACGTAACCTGTCGAAGAGTTATCTGAATATTATCTCTTTCTCATCATCGTTTCTCTCTCAGACACAGAGATATTGCATGTTTTGTGTCCACAAATGAATGCATACAAATTAGTTTTTTCAGAAGAGCAAACATGCAATTTCATAATTGTATATCTTCTTTTTTTTGTCAACCAATTTTATATATATTCTTTTCCTTTTCTGTCAACAGATAAATTTATACATTTTGATAAGTCTAGCGTAAACTACATATGGTCCATAAATGTTTAGTAGCCCAAAAAAATTGAAGTGCCCAATGGCTCGGCCCATATTGACCCGATTGATAATTAGACTAAGAGCGAATTGTGAATACTTTTTTTTTTGAATGAATTGTCCCCTAAATTTATTAAAATACTAATCGAAAAAATTACATTCAGACATTTCTGAGTATAGAATGCCCATTTACATTCTCAACCAACAAAATCCTAAGGTCCTCGGGACATACATCGAAAGCATGAAAACCAAGCGGTAAAGTAAACGCATAGTTCGCTAACCCATCTGCGAGACGGTTAATCTCCCTATACACGTGAGAAATACGGAATATCCAGTCCTTCGAGAGTAAGCCATAGCACAAACGTACTAGGAAAGACAATGAATGCACTTCACTAATCTTTGTCTGAAGAAAACCAACCACAATTTACGAATCCACCTCGAGCTCAACTCGCGTAGCTCTACGTTCCATGCGATGTAGAGGCCATAATACACTCCCCATAGCTCCGCTAACGGAGCCATAGCGAATTGTGAATACTTCAATTACTCATATCGGAAACCTTACAATTTGATTAATGAAAATACATATAAATTGTAATTTCAAGCAGAAACAAAAACATAATAATAATAAATGAGTGCCCCCATTGCCGAATATGGGCAGTCGAGCTTGACCAATGGGGGGGATTAGCAAACAAAACCATCGATCCTTTATTTGTTATAATTTTTTTTTTCTCTAAATCATTGGACACTGGGTGCAAGTGCACCCACCACCTTGCATGTGCTTCCGCCTACATTTTATTCTTTTTGTTTGTTTTGAGAAAGGGTTTAATCCTGCATTTGGTTCATAACTAGCCCCTGAAGGATATGTTAAACTTCTCTATAGATTGCATGCATGTAGCTTAAATAGGAACAGTATTTTGATCACTCGGGTAGATGCCAATTGTTTCCAATAGCGGTGATCCGAGGAGCAGTAGGACCTGTTATGTGGAGAAGATGGCCAATGTCCATCCAGTTGTCATGCCAAAAAAAGAGTCGTAGCTCCATTTCGCACTTTAGAAACGACAAAAGGTCTAATAAAAAGCCTAGTTACATAACCGACGACGCAAAATCTAGCTTTACCTCGAGCCAGTATATAGGTTATAAAAAATTCATTGCAAATTATGTACCTGTGTTTAAAAATTCAAGAAACCCATTGAGACCTACTTGAGGTTAAATTGATGAGGTTATAATATACATACATTTTCTATAATTCCTTAGATGTATGCAAAATTTCAAAACATCAATATAAGCGGGGAAGTACGTTTTAGGTTTCATGTCTATGTATTTATCACTAACTGAATTAACAATTGTTTTTGTACTAATTGATCACTTTGTTAATTCATAGAGTCCAATGTCATGATTACACAAATTTAAAGTTGGATAAAGCTCAATCATTTTCATCAACTAAAATTAAAGCAAAGTTTATCTGTTATGTCAATAAAAATTTGAAACACACTTTGATTTTCTCTGAACTTAGTAGTTAAGTCACCCTGCAATTATGTAGTTCGCCAATCTTTTTACTGAGTTTAATTTATAAATCTATTTATAATAAGATAGATAGATAGTCCTAATTTTAAAACAACTGCTTTATAATTATTTTAAAAATTCCTCCATTAACTTTGCTATTTTTTTTTATTAAGCTAAAGTTGGAAAACAGCTGCTCTAGGATTATAAGCTAAGTTCTTAGTCCTAAAAAGAACGACTACTCAATTGACCAAAAAGAAAAAGAAACGACTACTCTCTTCCACCAAGAAAATTGAATATCATATTACATATACCCAATTCAAAAATGAAAGTGTATTCATAGTGATAGAATTAATTCATATATAGCCAACGATTCATTCTTTAAATATTTTCATTTTTTTTCAAAAATAGCCTCCAACTCAGCTTATATATGATCGATCTATATAAATATACCCACCTAGTCTCTATGCTTCACTCCTCAACAAGTTATTACAAAAGAGACAATAAAAGAAGAGAGAGAGAGAGAGAGATAAAGAGAGTGAGAGAAAGTGAGAGAGAGAGGGTTTGATTATTAAGTTATTAACACACAGTTGATCAGCCTACCCAATCATGGGTTATATCGATGGAAAATGGGCACCATTGATCATGATTACCGTGATCTACATGATTAATGGGATGGTTAACGCTTTGATTAAAAAAGTTCTTGATGGAGGTATTAATCATATGGTTATTGCTACCTATCGTTTGGGTATTTCCACCTTTTTTCTTCTTCCGATCGCTTATTTTTGGGAACGGTAAGTCTATGTTTTTATATCATTAAAATTATTTTGCTTCTTAGTTTTCAATTTCTATATTTCTTTACTGCTTAATAAACTAAAAAATAGAATTTTATCTTATTTTGAATCCTGAATTTCCTTCTAAACCGGCTTTTGTTCAATTATGAGTTTTACGTTTTCTACTATTTTATAATAAACCAAAAAAAATTCAAATTGAATTATGTTTACTATTTTGTGAAAGTTTTCTTTTTAAAAGACAACTATTTAACGTTTGATGTGTTAAAACAGTACATATAGAAAATCAGAATTCTGTGTTCCGGACAAAATAAAAAATTCGATATCATGATTTGGCCAGGAAAACAAGGCCGAATCTAACCACAAGCATCCTGTGTCAGCTTTTCGTCAGTGCCCTTTTTGGGTAAGTTGCAGTTCTAATCCCTTAACACATAATTTCTTTCAATTCAGCCCCTCTTTGATTCTAGTATTTTATTACAATTCTTTTTTGGCAGGGCGAGTTTGATGCAGTATTTCTATTTGCTTGGGCTCAGCTACACTTCTGCTACACTGGGATCTGCTTTCTGGGGCATAATGCCTGCCCTCACTTTCATTATGGCTTTAATACTTGGGTATATTTATTAGTATTAAATAGTATTAATTTTAAGAAACAAAATATTGTTAAAATATTTGTTTTGTTTCATATCAAATGTGGTTTTAAGATTTTTCTATTAAAAAAAATGGTATAAAATATCTATTTTAACTTTAAGACTAATGAAGAATACCATTAGTTAATTTGTTTTCAAAATTATAATAAAGTTTTTCTATGTTTTCTTAATATATATGAAAAAACATTAAACCATATTTGTTATGAAACGAAAAGAGTATCAGAAATTGAAAGTGTCCCTACATGTTATCATTTTCAGTGTAATCTTATACCTGAATTTTTATTTTCAGATTCGAAAAGCTAAATATGAAAACAAAAATAGGATACTTCGTCGTTCTTGGAGCTATGATAAGCTTAGTAGGAGCTTTAATTCTTACGATGTACCAAGGAATCCCATTATCAAACTCTCAAGAACAAGCAACGATTTCACACATCAACACAGGACATGAGAACTGGGTCAAAGGCTGTTTTCTTTTATTCACAGGGGTTACACTTTTCAGTTCTTGGATGCTTATACAAGCCAAGATCAACGTGAGTTACCCTTGTCCATATTCGAGTACGGTTATTTTATCGATCTTTGGTACGCTTCAATGCGCTCTTCTTAGCTTGATCAAGACTAGACATGTGGAGGATTGGATTCTCAGAGACAAACTCACCATCATCACTGTCATTATAGCGGTATATATGCATTCATATGCATATACCTATATAAATTCACCGATAATCAAAAGTTAATTGATCTATTGTGTGTATGTATCTTTGTATAGGGTGTGGTTGCACAAGGAATATGTACGGTGGGAATATCGTGGTGCATCAAACAACGAGGGCCTGTCTTTACATCAGCATTCACTCCTGTCACACTTATGGCCGCAACCGTGTTCGATTTCTTGATACTTCATCGTATGATTTATTTGGGAAGGTATTTTTTTTTTTTTTTGCAAGTTCAATATTATTAACACAAATCTCACATTATAAAAGAGGAGTTAATTTAATATATACAGAAAATTTATCAATAGACCCTTAATTTTTAATTAAATTTAAAAATACTGAACTCTAAATTCCATGAAGATATATGTCTTCTACATGTCACGAATTGATAAAAAAATTGTTGTTGTTGCAGCGTTATTGGATCTGCGGTGGTTGTGGTCGGTTTATACATATTTTTGTGGAGTAAGAGCAAACAAATAGTTGATTGTAAGATCATGAAGTTACCTACAAATACGGTGGAAGAAGAAAAGGAAGAGGAAGACCATACAAATGTTAACAAATTAGGCCATCTTTTGGTTATCCCCATGACTCCTTGATCTTCATCCCTAAACCCTCTTGTACTTCAACGAGAGAAAGACCAAAATGTTAACGAAATTAAAATATGAAGAAGAGAAGAAAATGCTCATTTGATTGTTTATTGGACTATTTTATCACTTGTGTTGTAATGTTTAACTTTTTGGATTTTACTTTCCATTGGATAAGTTTGGATACTGTAATTTGTTTATATAAATAAATAGTATCGAAATGAACTTAATTGACTAAACAAATAATTCAAACAAGATATTCTAACAAAAATCTACACTAGCGAATCCGTACTAGATACTATTTATTTATATAAACAAATTATAGTATACAAACTTAGCCAATGGAAAGTAAAATCCAAAAACGAGAGGGGAATCGGAGGAGTTATCGCAGGGAATAATGGGAATATCGTTTGGGTATTTCCACCTTTTTTCTTCTTCCGATCGCTTTTCTAATTATCTGAAAAATAATTTGGTGACAAAGTTTTGGGGTAGTGTCTGATCGATCGTGTAGCTCATTTGATTCCAGGGCAATGCTTTACCTCATGAGTTCGAGTAAAGGCTGAGGCTGAAGATGTTTTGGAGTAGTGTCTTTTAGATAAAACAAAAATAAAGGAACAAATCAATAAAATAAAATAAAAAATCTGTAAAAAGAAGAAAAACAAATTTTGTGTGAGATTCTTGTGAACTGAAAGTGTGAGCTCCTGTGGAATCAACGTTGAAGCATATGCAAGTGATCAGTGAAAGCAAATGCAGTTTTCGAACAAAGGTGATACTCTTGGTCCCTTGGAACAAGAAGAAATTGATGATGTGTGATAAACAACACATGAAGATATATTAAAATCAGAAAGAAGATATTCTAAAGAAGATTTGAAGGCGTCCAAATCAAGAAATAAAACCTAGGGGATCTACTTGATCCGAGTGGAATGCCTTCTAATAGGCTTAGCCGTTCAAAGAAGAAAAGTAAGAATGATTATTTCGTTTTATAGAGTAGTACTGTTTACTCTATTTTGGATAGCAGTCTCTATTTTTGGATAGATTAAAATTCAATTTGTAAATGTGTAAATTCAGTATCACCAGATTTCTGAATCGTTCGAACTATAATGTTGAAAAAAAAAACTAATTAGCTAAGTATATCTCAAGTACGATGTGAAACTAATTAAAAGAGGTAGAACTTCTTAACAGATTCTAATAAAAGAAAATTCAGTGCGACGAAGACAGAATAATCGTGTTTTTGTTTATCTTTGCTTTTCCATGAACTAAAATAAAAATAGTCACTCTGAATTAATTCGATTCTCGACTTCTCGTGGATTATGTGAAACAGCGGTCGAATATGCACACACTTTATGATGTCATTCTCTATGAAAAAATATTACTAAACGGTAACGATCATATGCTTATTTATTCCTTTAAAGACGATGATTAATTAGGCTAGCCACCGATCACTGTGCCTTTTTCTTTTCCCTATTTTTTGTCATGTAATACAATTTATACCTTATATATATATATATATATATATATATATATATATATATTACAAACAAAATGAAGCTGGTGTATTGCTTTGCTTTTTCTTTAAAATACTGCTGAGGAGTGGCACACGAAAGGATTGAAAGCCGAAGCACTTCAAAAAGATTTTTAGGATCAAAGTGAAAAATCTGTATATAAAATAATACAATGTATATTTATAATGCAATGTAACTTTTTCTTAAATTTATTATGAAATTTTTGAAAATTTATGTTGAAATTTACGAAAATTTATATTGATTTTTTATAATATATTTAACTAATAATTATAGATAGAGCTGTTAAACAGGTTTTTAACTTGTTTTACAATAGATTATAGTATAAATTCAATCTTATACATTTAAATAAATATACAAAAAACTATGACTAATTGTTTTTAAAAAAATCATACTATTTAGTAAATTGAGTATATTATTTATCTTTAAAACTAAAAGGTAATAATTTGACTTACAAGATTCATTTTTATGGATATTTGAAAATTAGAATCTTAACTCATTTATGGTGAATTACTTAATCCATTTTACAGTTGATTAAAATACTATGCGGAATAACTAACAAATAACTATAATTTTGAAACACCAATTCTAAGTTTTGTGTGTCTAACTCTTTAAAAAAACAGTAAATAATTTTTTTAATAATATAAATTATAGTTAAAAATATTTTAATATCTCAAATATTTTTTTGAATATATGTAGATTAATTATTGTATGTAATAAATAAGAAATTAAGTAGTAAATATTATTTTTAATGGGAAATAAATATTTCATATGTTTTTCATTAATTTTAGAAAACAAATATATTACTTTTTATCTTAATTATTTTTTAATATATAGTATATATGTAATAATTTATAAAGTAAATTTGTTCTAATTTAAAATTTTTAATAATATTATAGAGATGTATGAGTATGACTCTCACTTAGCAGTCTCACGTCAAGAAAAAGATTTGAAGTAATAAGTATATATAAATGTCTAATCGTTATACTTCAAGGGGTCTCGACCAAGTGCTGTCTTAAAGCATGGTCTTCTCATCTTTGCTTTAAAGTTTTATACTGTTTCAACAATTTTTTGTCAAATGTTCCAGAATTTTGTTTTGGCTAAAAATGATTAATTGTTATTGAGGAAATTGTAAAGCTACTATTAATAACACCCACAACTACACTTTGGAATGTGTAATCATGACTAACTTCTTTTTCACGTCACTCGCATTTAAATAAATCATGAGTAACTTCTCATATTTTGGAGCTTTTTGAAGTCTAGTTTTTGTACCACGTGATCAATTTTTACTATATCAAATAAATATGGGTATAGCAAGATTGTTAAAGTGTAGCAAAAGAAGATTCACATTAACTTTGAACAAAGAAGATTCATATTAACTTTTAACTAGAAGATTCAAATTAGTTAATAGATTCTAGGGTCCCTAGATTCTACCGTTTGTTACATGAAATTTACTGTGACTCGGTGAGAGTCTGTGACTAGAAAAAAATAGTTTAGTAAAGATATATATATATATATCATATACTGATATACTACGAAGGATAAAAATAGCCGGTTAAATTAGAACTTATAACTAATCAAAAAGACGGTATTTATGGAGAAATAAAAAGTGAGATGTATGAATCGTCTCTTGTTTACTTCGTGGGTGCGTTCGCTAAATATAATTTTATGGATTCTGCTTTTTTGCATGGCAAACACCACAAGAGTTGAATAGACATCAAAAAAAAAAAAAAACCCCACAAGAGTTTCTAATCTTTTAGCAATAAAAGCCATAACACATGTCAGAATCACATAGAATCCGATTTCGATTAATTCATTGAGCATCACAATTTAAAGTAATTAAAGTCGAAAAATGCATTATGTATACTCTTTTTTAATATATAAAGGGACACGGTAAAAGGGGTTGTATAGAAACTCTTTGTTGACCAGCGACTCTTAATAACGTGACTGATCATCACTGATCACTAACATCAAAATAATTGAGTTTTTTTAGCCATATCATATTTATTTAATTTACGACATAGAAAATCATGCAGGTTTTATTTATCTGTTCTCTTTCTAGAAAGTAGCCCTTTAATACTCATATTTTATCCCTGTAATATCTATATGGACGTAGTCGATGTCGCAACCAAATGTCCCGAAGAGCTAGCCTACCAAACTTGCAACAAACAAATTGACCCATTAATATAGAGATTAAAAAGAGGTTTTTGAGAGTCAAATCAATTTTTGTTGTCAAATCAATTTTTTGTATGATATAATTTGAATATGTTTATTCTTTAAATAAATGTTCATTTTGTAAGGATTTAAATCCATAATTCGTTCAAACAAATGAAAGCAACAAATAAAAACATACAAAACTTAGTGAAAAATAATCTTAACTAAAATAGGGAAACTATTAAAATACATGATAAAAAAATAACACTTATTTATCTTAATAATTTCATTTATGAGTTGCATCATCGAGACATATTATAAGTGATGATATCAACGTCTGAACCTATTATATATATTGAATAATTGTTTTTTATTTTAAAGAAGAAAATTTTGATGCTAGAAATACATAAAGAAAATATGATTACAGATAAAAAAATTTGCACAATTTTTTTTTAAAAAAACAATTGTTAGAATAATAAAAGAAAGAAAAAAACTCTAACACCAATAATTTAGATAATGGCCGTGACCTAGCTAATACAATATTAAAAAAACTAAAAGAATAAATATGAAGCACGTACTTTTTAAGAAACAAAGTTACATTGAATTTCAAATCAAATGATTTTTTCATATTGATTGTAATTAATTTTTAACTATAGACTGATTGTCTGCGCAGCTGCGTTAAACACTACAAATTAACTTTACATTTCGGATAATGTTGTGAGAGTTGCTTCGAGACAGGTTTACCAAATATGTAGCTCAATTGATTACTTTTGATGATTCTATTTTTTTATTCTTTTAAAAATGGAAAGAACAAGCAACTTGATATACATAATACAATTGCAACTCAAGTTAGTGGATATCGAAAGTATTTGCAAATGGACGAGATCGAAACATAATTTCATGAAAAGAGAAATGAATCATTAGTCTATAAACGAAATGCGTAGAAAAGCTTGGTCATATTGGAGTTTTTGGTTGGGTTATATTGGAGATTGATTATGTCAATATATTCCTCTTGTAAGTTCTGCTTTGATGGAAAATTTGTTAGCTATGCGAGTTGTTATTTATCACGAGTTAGTTTTGGGTTTTTCGAAGATTGATGTCCTCGAATCCGACTTCTTCTAGGCAACTAATTAAAGTAATTTTTTTATATAACCAGTAGTGATATAGATTTTTGTCACTTGAATAATATTCTAGAATGAATATAATTGTCGAGTAACCCACTCAATAAATTTTCAAATAGATCTAAAACCTAGAACAATTTTAAGTAGAAGTTTTTTTGAAACTCTCTGATATTCTATCAGATTTTTTTTTTTTTTTGGTAGTTTTCACGTTTATGTAATTCATTTTCATATTATATGGTTTCCACTCATCAAAGTTGATTTAATGTAATGTTGGGAAAAAAATGGGAATTTTGGACGTTCAGTTTGAAAGAGACAAGTCTCGGAACTTTGGTACATATATTATTACTATTGAATATAGGCTAAAAATAAAAAAAACAATGACGTAACTATAAATATATTACCAATTAATTAAAAAGAGAAA